GATAGAGGCTTTTTGACTGACTATTTTATTTAAGTTTTAGTTATGTTCCTAAATACCAGTTTTAAAAGGCTGCTTTTACTTGTCTTGCACATTTAAACCTGACTTAACTTGATATTTGTTTGCACTAAAAGGGAATTCCATATTGTTTACAATCGTTCTGGTTGCTTCTTAACTTGAACGTTGCACAGAAGAAGCGACAGAATATCGATGTTCCTGACTACAACTTGCACTTTAAAAGCACTATGTGATCAGATTTTTATGTTGTATTTATCCATGAATACAGCAATAAATTGACTGTTGACTGGAAAAGCAGAAAAAATGTCTGTATTTTTTTTTTTGCTATTATCATCACAAACACTATCGTGAGCTATTTAACAGTACTGTGAGCTTTTCCACAATATCGTACCGTGAGGTCAATATCGAAATTGTATTGTACCGTGAGATTTTGATATCGTTACATCCCTAATTAGTAAGTGTATATAAACTATCTTATTAATTAAATTTCAATCTTGTTTTTTTCAATAAGTTCAAGGCATTTGTTTATTGAGAAAGTAGATAAAAGTTTAGATAAAAAGGTATAGATAAAGATTTTTCCTAAATAAATCAAATTGCTGCATTTCTCAGATCATCAGGGCAGAAGATGTTTCATTGGTCAGAAATTCAGGTTTTAATAAAGGTGTAATAATCTATGAAATGCAGTTAAAATAGATTTAAATAAAACATGAGGACTGACTGCTCATAAAATCTCTACAGAACCCCAAAGGGATCATTTATAAGAAAGAAGCTAAAAATAAACTAACTATAAAAACAGTCTATTGAACAACAAATGTTTTTTTTTTAAATCAGTGTGTTAAGTGGATGGCGGACATGTTTACGTTGATTTTACTCACTTGTACATGACGGCCAGCGCGTTGATCTCCACCTCTCCCACCCATTGCTGTAAAAACCAAGCGTCTCATCAGTCTCCCTCTAATGAGACGTTACAGTGAGCAGATACGCTGATGACGCTGAGGTTTACCTGAGGGTCCCGAAGCTTGCAGAGATACTCCTCAAAGTCCCCTTCGATAAACTGAAACAGAAACAGAGATGAGCTCAGAACAGGAACCAGGAGAACATGTCCGTTAAAGCAGAACCCAGGAGAACCGGAAACATTAAAAACACCTGAACCAAAAACTAATGTGTAACCAGATAGCAACTATGGTGTCATCCACTCATGTTTTGAGATGAGATAAATTCATATTTTTATGATAAACAAAGTTCAATGTTTTCCCCTTTAGATTTGTTTAGTATGAAAACAAAGGTCAGGGCAACTGAACTGATTAGGTTTTAAAAAATTTTATTACACAGGAATTTCACAGGAATTTAGATTTAAAATGAAGAATTTAACCAAAAAAGTTAAAAATAAAACAAAAGTCAACTTAATAAACGTAAGATTCATATCAAATTGTTATAAAAATGAGTTTTTTCCCCGTCATGGACTCCTCTGCTTTCAGTCCGTCAGGCTTCATAGCAGCTATCGTCAGGTTTTAAGCTACTATTACAATCCAGAACTCATATCTTTAAACATTTCCAGTGAAAAGGAACCGAACGGTTAGTTCTACTAGAACCTGATGAATGTCAGGTTTAACGAAGGATCAGCTGATGACGGATCGGTCCCAGAAATAAACTAGTTTCCATCTTGTTGCAGTTTGTGCCTCTAAAGAGAGAGGAGAGGTTGTTTGGTGATGTGACCCTGATTATAATTTAAAGAACAGGTAGGAAAATAAATATATGAATAGTTGACCTTAATTGGTCGACTAATAATATTGATATTTTCACATCAGAGGATCCAAATGTTTAAACGCTTCAGGGGCAGAACTGGATTGCAGGAAAGAACGAGTGCTTGCATATAAACCCCACCAAACAATCCTCTTTTATGTTGTGTGTCTAAAAGTTTTGTCACAGAAAACTTCCAAAAGAAAGATGAAAAAGAGCGTAATGTCTATAAATGAGCCTCTATTCCTGTCTTTTTCTGTATAAAACAATCACTGCTTTGAGAAAGGGAACACAGCGTCCCTCTTTAAATAAAGACGATTGTTTTGTTTTGCTCGGATGGACCTTTTATGTTGCTGTCAGTGATCTTCGCTTAATTAGCCAGCCAGAGCTGCAGGCAGCAACCCGATCACTTCCTTATTTTCCTTCCCTCTGCTGTAGAGAAACTAACAGCATCCAAATCTGAGCACCGATTTCTGAACTTTTACTAACTGGTATCAATCAGATCCCATAATTACGGAAGAGGATTAGGGCCACTGATAAAAAAAAAAAAAGTAAACTGATTCTTTTTTTATTTCAGTATAGTATGGGAAAAAAGTCAGAATTTTGACTTTTTTCTCAGAATTCTGACTTTTTTCTCAGAATTCTGACTTTTTTCTCAGAATTCTGACTTTTTTCTCAGAATTCTGACTTTTTTCTCAGAAT